TGTATTACTTCTTTGAGAAGGCGCATAATGCAGATAAAAGATAGATATACAATTTTTAGAAAAACTTAGCATGAAACTTACCGGTAGCACATTCAGAGGTCTCGTACGACATGGTTGATTGTACTTCTACTGCATTTTGCTCAGATCTAAAAAGAAAACAAAAATTTAAGAAAAATATGAGTTCTTAGGAAATAAAAAATTAATACGAAGAAATAAAATAGAAATGAATTATTCAAGATCTTTCGCCAATCCTAACCTAAAATTTAAAAATAGGTATTCGGGTATTAGAATAGCTGAGATTCAACTTTAAAAATAAAGTAATATACTTTGTACTGTGGTCTCGCTTTTAAGGAAATATTTACATATTTTTAACCCAATTTAAGATCTAGCCAACTCAAAGAGACATAATAAGATAACATCAAAATTTGCCATTATTCTTACCTCAATATCACATCAGTTATAACTTGCTTTTCCGTATCGGTATATTCAGAACGTCGCCGGCCGATCTTCTTCTCAACATCAGCCTCCACAAATTGTCCCAATGGTCGGGCGGGAAATTCGTTGGCCTTTGGCGGTGGCGCTATATCCAATTTTAACTCCTTTAATTTCTTCAACATACGTTCGAGTGCTTCGATTACGTAGTCATCGTTGTAGCCGAAATTTTTATGCAATTTCACTTGTAAGTATTCAATAATTGAATCCATATCGTTGAGACGCAATAAATCGTGCTTGTGCAAATAGAGTATAGTAACGGCCATGGCGGTGACGACACGCTCACCCTCCAACAGGTAGATGTCCCAAACGCGTAAAGCTAAACTAAATGGTATCTAAAAGGGAAAGGAGAAAAAGTAGAATAAATATATAGATATGCATATACATACATATAATATTAAGCGGTAAAGGTGAAGTAATGAAAAAGAAAGTGAGCTGGCAGGCACACAATCAAAGTAAAANCATAAAATGTGCGCAATAAATATTACATACATATAATATTAAGCGGTAAAGGTGAATGAAGTAATGAAAAAGAAAGTGAGCTGGCAGGCACACAATCAAAGTAAAACATATTTGGCGATGGACTACCATAAATGGATGGTGACCAAAACTGTATTTTAAGCAATACATGTATTATTATTGATTTAACATTTTGTGNACATATTTGGCGATGGACTACCATAAATGGATGGTGACCAAAACTGTATTTTAAGCAATACATGTATTATTATTGATTTAACATTTTGTGTTTTATTTTGATCTAATAAAAATGCGATTGCCTTAATACATGCATGTAAGAAGTTTTAATAAGTAATATTGCGATGTTTACGCATGAGAATTTTGGCAAAAAATTATATTTATATTATTACAAGAATTTACATTTGTAATAATTTTTCGTAGGTATCGGACAATTGAAATCAAAAACTTTTAACAAACAATCCTAATATATAAGAGTATTCCCTTAAACTGAAAGCCTCGAAAGTATCGAAATAAAAATTTAAATTAAGTATTTTTCGTGTTTTTAGATTTCCAGTTATTCAAGTTTAAGGAGATCGCCTAATTAGTTCACTTTTCCGTACTCACCCGCTCCACAAAGATCACAAAGAACCACTTGATCGAATACAAAATGGCATCGACATTGTGCTTCATAAAATGCTGATGCAGCTTGCGCATCAACTTCGATAATATCCGATCGTGATGTTCTAGGAAGCGCGTCAATTTTGGGAAGCCCTCAATAAATAAACCATGCATAGCATACTTCCGATCAAAGATCAATTGATTGAGTGCCCAAAATGCCTCCTCCTCTTGCATATAGAGTAAGAGCACACCAGCCAAGCAAGCCATACCTTGGCAATAACCCAATTCTGGATTATATATGCTATACGCATTTAGCACATTAAATAGAGAGCACTGCTTAACGCTATACCGCTGGCGGTAAGCGAGATTATCACGAAATTGGCGATTCACATCAGAATCGATTTGTCGCACCTCGGTGGAGTATTTGCGCGCCAATGCTAACATAGACGCATATGTATCACGATTGGCCGCTATTAATTCGTCAACATTCAGCAACTTTTTCCATGCTGGCCAACGCATACGATCCGGTATACCTTTGAAGACACGTCGTCGCACCTTCTCGTTATTGGGATTCCAATTGGCAAGCATTTTCACCCATTTCTTGTCGCGCTCCAATTCAATTTTGGTTCGCTGCAGCTCCTGTGAGTCGCGGGTATCAGGCAGGCGGGAGTCGTGCATGAAGCCATATCTATGCAGGTAAAGGAGAATAAGAAGAAAATACAGTAACTGTGAGAAAAAATGTAAAAGTAATGCTTTAGAATGTAAACTCTTGTAAATGAAGGCAAGTAACAGGTATTTATGTACATATACATATGTATAGTCGTTTGTTTGTATCCAGCTATGTTGGCAATTGAAGGGTTCATTGTAAGAGAATGGTATGTGGCACGGAACCAAGCTAGCAATGGGAAAAGAAAGAAGCTCACGACAGTGCACAACACACGTTTTGCATTATTTTAAAACATAAAACAAATAAAAAATTATGCACAAGTTGTTGCTTTTGTGCATATTTTCATCTTTTTGTTATTGTGTACTCTTATGAACACCTTTTATATTTGAGAGCTCTTATTATAATAGTAACTATAAAATGCAAAGTAGAATGCTTTTACATACATATTTTCTGCTGAAATTGCCTCAAGTGGCATTTGGCGCAGCGCATGAAGTGGAGTGTCGGCTGGTTACGGGAGGTGCATGCGCTCATGCAAAACATTGGCAAATTGCCCGGAAATGCTTGTGGTGGCCAACATACACACAACAACAAAAAGGAAGTGCTACTACAACTGCAGCTACCATCCATGAGCGTTTACGAGGCGGCAAAGAATAGCACCGGATTAGCGATTCGGTATTTATT